CATTCGACTAGCGTTTTCTGAGTTTCTAAAAAAATAAGTTAATCCAAGTACTAAGTTTATTATTATTATATTATTTTTTATTATATTATTTTTGCAAAGTAAAATATAGAGAAGAGATCGTAAAATATTTTCTAATTCGTTTTGCGTTTAGCAAGAATGCTATATCATGTAAATTTTAAAAGCGAATATGAAAATTCTAAGACAAGTTAAACTTGTTTCATAAAAACGTGAATATAAATTACAAAGCGTTACTGAATTTGAATATCTATGCAAATATTGTAAAGAAACCTTATTTAATTCAAGCTCTTGAGTTAAATGCATTCATCCCCTTTAAAAATGAAAACAATTTGATAAAATTGTGATATGCACTTAAAAAAGAATAATTTCAAAAATACATATCATTAAAATGTTCAAAATGTCGTTCAGAAATTCTTTTATTTTCTAAAAGGAGCTTCTTTGTCAGAAGGAATAAAACGAGTTAAAAATAATCTACGAATAGTCAAGTAATTTGATATAAGTGAGATATCTTCTTAAGGAAGAATAATTTCAAAACTATAATTAAAATATTCAAAATGTCATTCGAAAATTCTTTGTATTATTTAGAACTTCGTCACTGGGAAGAAATTCAGGCTGGCCACTGTGTGCTAGAGAAATGAAGCATTATCAGAAATGCAAAAGTCATTACTCTACCTTACACGGAAAACTAAAACTCGAAGTATAATGAAATGTTGCTCAGTATTTGTTGTGAAAGGTGGAAAAAGCGTTTTGCAAACTGATTTTTAAAAGTGCGCTCTCAATTTTGCTTTTTGTTAACATTTACGTTTTCAGTAATTTTGCATTCGTCTACGACTTTCCACATTACTGACAAGATTGCCATCATTTAAAGTGACTATTTTAGCATTCCAATGCTGTATTTCGCATCCGGTTATGTCCCTGATAATTCTCTGCATTCTCTAAATACTCCTAGATTTTATAAATGTAGATAACATGAACTTTGCTAGTGGCACTCTCTCCATACCGTCATGATGAAGATTCTGCGGGATAAAAATATATTTCAGTAATCAGATAACGGTGCTTTCTACGTTTGTATCTGAGGGCTATCGAATTATCAAGACTAGTTTAGAAAAACATTCTGAATACCTTTCCCAGCTATGCTTTGTACTTAATAGCTATATAGTTAAATTAAATCATGTGACGCATTTTAAATACGTCAACTACCTTTTAAAAATATTTTAGAATTAAACAAGCAAATGAAAGCATAACTCACGATATAAAATACTTTGACGAAGGATAATCACCTGATAAGAAATTACTTAGAACTTTGTAACTTAGGAAAATATAAAATACTCGAAAGGATAAATAATTATCTGACACTGAATTTGAGCGAATGGAGAAATACTTTTCTCGTAATGAATATATTAATAACTGAGAACGATTGCAGCAACATAAAACGATAAATGCGAAGAAACGTTTTTTGTTAGAATATCTAAAAGACAGTATTTATAATAACTCAAACACTGGTATTAACATCACCGATTAATGTTCTCTAGGGCGACGAACTTAACAGACGATAGAAGTCATTTAAAAACATTTGGAATAGTTTCTCTGTAACATCTACGGAATTGAAAAAAATCGCAGTTAAGACTGTTTATTGTTTGAAAAACTGAGAACATGTGCTTCAAAACAATTTTTTCTTCTCTTTTTAAAAAGCCATCGGAAACTGTCTTTTTCCTTACTGGCTGCAAAAAAATCTGATTACTTTACATTACTTACCCACTCTTCAATAAATTTAAGCAATGCGTTTGTAGGTTGGTAGAATCGTTAGGTCATTAGGTTTGATTAACACATTTTCCATGTGAACCAAATACAAACATCATGTAAAATAATAAACATAATATAATGAATCAAAATGGATCCAGTAATAAACTATTCTAAATAAGAAAACAGCTATTGTGTCGAAGATTAAAAATAAATATACTAATTTGTAAAACACAATGTAGAAACACTGCATATATTAAATAACTCTGGAATCGAAGCAATAGGCTGAATTAACATGTGTTTCGTAGCAAACCATCAGTATCAAGATCTAAAAGAATAAAATGCAGGAAAACAAAATAAGACGTAATTTATTACAGAATACAGATTTCACTCAAGCGGGCTGTCTTGAGACTGGAAAGCGGATGTGTGCCTAATTTATAATTAATACATGCAGATGATTAAGTCTTCTGAAAAAATATAAGCAGTTGCAATGATTTTAATAAGAATATCTAATTGAACTGCGCTAATACATACACAATATACCTGGGTAATGATTTAGATGTAGTCCATCAAGATAAGCAGCAATTTAGAGTTGAAAAACAAATGCTGGAAATTTCAGTTTAGAAAGCATTTTTTTTAATTCTGTGGAATTTGGTTATTGTTCCAGTATTTTGATTAATAATTTAAGTTCTTTTGAAAAATCTTAATTCTGACTACATGTGTTTTAATTATTTTCGTTTGATTAATAATAGTTTGCTATAAATTTTCTGCTGATATTTGATTCGCAGTTAATAAGCTTATTTGTACTGAAATTGAAGGATCTCATTTTTCTCAAATAATTTAATTTTGTTGAAGTTGTAAATTTGTAGGTCTAAAAAACTTGCTTTTGTATCACTGGAGCTAGTTTTGTCAAATTTAAATGGCTAGTTTTGTCGGGTTAGATGTTTTGTTTTTCAATTTCGTTATAATTATTTATGGCAGAGGTGTCATCTATATATCTGAAGGTAAATTTTGAGAAGACTATAATTTTCGTAGCTGTTGATAAAATTAAATTTTTTAAGGAAAAGTTTATAAATAGCATCAGAACAATTGATACGTATAGTAATATCATTTATCTGTAGATATACTTTATCTTGATACTTAATAAAGTTATGATAAAGTGTGCATTTAAAATAAGTATCCCATTTCTAGAAATCAGTTAAATCTCTAATGTTGGGAATAACGTTGTAAAATTGTTACAAATCTGTTTAAGCGGCAAGGTGGCATATAGGTTTTCAAAATCATAAAGTTCATATTATAGACCTGATTTTTGGTAATGGTTTTAATATCTTTCTAGTTATTGGTGATAAACCAATTATTATATAATAGGATAGTAGTATACTTCTGGAACTTTGCACACACTTTGTTAAGTATTTTAATGAAATTAATATGTAATCCTTCATCGTAGTCATTCATTCTATTAGCTATAAACCTGAATTTTGTTGGATTCCTGTGAAATTTGGTAATTGATAAACTGGAGAATTTATTGGATTGGATTATTCAATTATGGCAAAGCACACGAGGGCTATCTGCCTAAAGGGAGAGATGCCTTCGCGGAGGACTTTCTAAGGGAAACTGGCTCGTATACACGTTACACATGGGGAAAACCACTAAAGCACCCATGCAGCCAGCCCCTTCGCGGGATTCGAACCTTGGACCGAACTACCAGTGTTCAGCGTCTTTACTGCTCGGCCGCTGGTGGGCTGGAGAATTTATTATATTGAGGCTTGCTGATAATTTTAGGTGCTTTTGTCATATGCGTTAAATTTATTAATTAGTGCGCCTCTAATTACAATAATAATATAATTTTATTATTATTGTGATTAATAGAGATTTTGTAGGTAATTCTAAAATTCAGTTGATTGTTAATAATTTCTTGGTAGCATTTTTTGCTATCAGCTAGCTTTGTCTATACTGGTGATGATAACTGGTTTTAAAGTTCTTTAATCTTTTTACCAAGTTCACATTGATTAAAATTGGTGCTGCTATTAAATAGAATTGAAATTTATTGAAATACCTTTTAATGTTACTGTAAACATGGTGCTTCCATTCTTTAAAATTATTGCGTGCATTCTTTAAAATTATTTATAAAAGGAATTTTTATATCGGAATTCGTCTTTTATTTGAGTTTTAATTTTATTTAACGGTAAAATTCAATTTTATCAGTTGCCAATAGCAAATATGTTTTATATTGATTTAATGGCTAACAAATCTCTAATATGCTAGACTGTTTTCTATGGCCGTATTACTTTTCTTTCCTGCCAGATATTTAATAGCACTTTAGTCTCTTCCTAAACAAAATGAGCCCACCAGCGGCCGAGCGGTAAAGACGCTGAACACTGGTAGTTCGGTCCGAGGTTCGAATCCCGCGAACGGGCTGGCTGCATGGGCGTTTTGGTGTTTTTCCCCATGTGTAACGTGTATACGAGCCAGTTTCCCTTAGAAAGTCCTCCACGAAAGGCATCCCTCCTCTTAGGAAGATAGCCCTAGTGTGCTTTGCCATAATTAAGTACACCACCTAAAAAAAATGCCTGTCGTGTGTATTGATTCATTTTCTTAAAAGCTGAAGTTTAGAATAGTGCTAACTTTTTTGATAAATAGTACGTATATGAAAAATTTACTAATAGAAGATAAATAAATTTTAATTTATCATATAATATAAAATAATAATAAAAAAAAATATATTCTTGTAAAAGGAAGTCTACCACAATCAGAACCGTGGTAGAATTCGAAAACATAATCTAGTGTTTGCAACTACGGTTATCCGTTCTCAATGAATGGCAACAGCTGTTCGTTATCAGAGAGATCGTCTGACGTAATTTGTTCAAATACAGATATATTTTCGACGTTTATTTACCCTTTACCTGCGCCTACCTTTTTACACCTACCTATTTTTAAAGCCACGGCTATGAACGACACTGTTATGTAAGATTTTACGAATTGTAAGCAAAATATCTATTTTTATACGTATTGTACACTGCGCAAAAGAAAACAAGATGAGTGTTGAGTAAACAGTTATTTATCTCCTGCTCGGATTAGTGACCAATAAAATTGAAGCAAAGTTTCTAAATGAATATCAGTATTTTAAGAGGAAACGGGTTTCTTAAAATGTAATATGCGCAATTTTTTGTGAAAGTTGGCGGCATTTCGCCCACAAAAAACCTCATAATAAACGCTAAATGAGGCAGCCGCCTTTATTGAGCACTTACTGCAAAAGAACCTGGAACAACAGTAGCATAATTCATATTAGAATTATTGATATTTAGCATTTTTCATATTGCGAGTATCATAGGATGATATCTTCATACCCGTGACTTCAAGTAGCACCATAAAGAAGAATACAGGATTTCTGGTCTGAAAAATGTATTTAACGGATACATATTGTACTAAATCTGGAGGCTTATTACTCTTTTTTAGTCTAAAGCTGGAAATGATGAAAGACAAATCTGTATAGAACTTTCCAATGGAATCTGACCAGGGTTTGTAGTGCACAGGAGGAAAACATCTCGAAGTTCTTCATACAGCCAACACATTCAACACCTGGAAATAGAAATCATGGGTAATTATTTATGAGTTTAGCGTCTAGCGGACTGGATCGACACTTCTTTTTTCATAATATATTTTAAAAGGTGGGCATATAAGGAATTTTTTCTTTCCCTACTCTGCTTTCTCAGGTTGTTACTGAATAGCAATCAAAAGATCAGGATTTTTGATCGCAGGCAGGACAATTCTAGTAAGTGTTTTGTATCGTTTTGGAGCGGAAGACACCAAAACGCTCTAAAGACATAAAGTTAAAATTTGATAATCATAATAGAAATAATAATCATAATTCATACATCAGGATTAATCCATACTTTAAGGATTTCAAAAAACAGCTCGTGGACATAGTTACGATTACAAAAGATGCACTATAAAATTAGGTTTAAAAATGTATTCCTATGTTAATTCCTTTAATGCATTATAAAGTCACTGAAATTTAAATTTTCTTTAAAATCTAATACGACATTAAAATAAATAGTGGTACAATAAATACACAGCCCATATATATATAAATTATGTATGTGTAGCACTCATTCATCAAAATTCAAGATGGAGGAAGTATATTAAACGATTTAAAAAAGGTGGCACCAACAATGGTGAGTTGAATTATCAGGGATGCGATAATGACTATACAAGCCATGCGGCATAGAAAAGGACGACAAGGATTAGTTATTATCGTCTGCGGCGGCCATGAAGTCACTTGGTTTAGAGTTTTGTTGCCTGCCTGGCCAGATAGCAAAAGTCCAAATTTGTTATTTATTTGCTCTGTATGTTGAGTATTAAAGTATTCTTGACTGTTAAAGTAGCATATTTTTTCTGTTGTATAATTCTTGGTAGGTCTTGCAAATATCTTGCAAAAACTGTCCTAACATCGTCCCCGTATCGTAAATCATACTTTTCGGCAACGAAAAGATATAGGTTTCTTTTCGACATAAATGAACTACAGAATCTTACTTTCGCTGCTATCCTTTCTTCGTAAAAATGAAAACCTCTTGAAGTTTCTTTCATTAATAGAAAAAAATTGCCTCTTGTACAGGAAATATTTCATGAAGCAAAAATATTCGTAACACTTACATTACCTTTCGGAATTCTTCAGAAAAATAGTAAATTTTGGAAATTTTAACGTAATAGAGATAGCATAATACTGAGTTCATTTACTTTTGTCATTTTATAATAATGGTATGATTATTTCTTCCTAAAAATACAAAATTTTTAGGAATAATTCTTTTTTAATTACCATGCAAACTTCGAGCTTCGACGTTAAGTCACCAAGATTGAAATCATGCATATCATATCATCTTCCCTTTAATAATGATCATATGCATCGTAGCTGAAGTCTGAAATTACACAGCAAAAGAACAATTCAGTTTACCTGACTGAACTTTTAAGTGAAATCTCTCCAGCTCTTACACTTACCATCTGATATTAACTGGGAGTTCATAATTTAAATTTACAAGAGGAATTGAATAAAAGTTTTCGCTAGAATAATTACATTTTATGCTGTACTTGAATTACTTGAACAAAAAGAAAGAAGCAATCACTAGTTGAAATAAAGGACTTCTAAGTTAGAAGGTAATTGAATCTTTAGAAATTTCGTAATTCATTTCAGCTTCGTTTTAATCTATAGGTATTTTTCATTTGGGTGAAACTGGAAAGGAAGTATCAGTGTTTTCTGAAAGAGTAATCACAAATTACTACAAGGCGATTATTTCTTAACTGGCATTTCTTTTATTGACGTATGGGAATACTGAGTGTTTTTTAAAATGTTTATCTTATCATATTCCTATCGAAAAGTTCTGTAATGTTCCTAAAATGCTATTAAAGGTTATGTTCGTATATGTTCGAGACTTTTATCGAATTAAAATCCGGTATTTGGTGCTTTGATTGAAGTTTTATAATTTAAAATAGAAAATTAAAAGGTCTACTATAGGACTGCAGCTCTTACACTCTTTGCATGACAATAACATCAAAGGCCTATGATTGCTGTACTTGTATTCCCTCAAAATCAAATTTAAATGAAATAACACTAATTTGTGCATTATCTAACTGAAAACTTATAATATCGTTGCGTAATGCCCAGCTGCGGTAAGATAGCTTTCCCGCAAAGCGGGTTTAGGATTGTCAGAAAATGACAAGGAAAGGCAGGATCGCCGGGTTTGGTGCGAAATCGCCCGTTTGGCGATGTGACATAGATTGAGCGAGAACATTTCTAGAATGAATTCTTGCCGGTTTTCCGAGAATGTTCTCGAAGGCAGGTCAAAAGCTATAAATACCCTGCCGTACAAGCAGCAGTGTATTGTGCGGAGTAGCAGTGCATCGTGCAGAGTATCTAGAGCATGTTGAGTTCAGTAGTAATGTTCTGAGTTCAGAGATTAGCTTGGGAGCGACCGAACCGAGTCGGGAGCTGTACTTCAGTGTTTTGCCATGAAGCTGTCTTTACCGTTATAGCCTGAAGTCTGTGTTGCTGATTACTTCAGCATGTTTATCGTATATTTTCCACGTCTGTAAACGTGACTTTGGAATCCTCCTGTGTAGTACTGACGAATACATTGTGTTTGGGTTCTTCATCAAGTGTTGGCATCAATCACTTTAAATACACGAACCTGTAGAACGCAGCAATATTTTCCGTAGAGGAGGATTTGAAGTCGTGATTTCTCCGACAGCTGGTAAATGCTTTATTTAACAGAGAATCATACATCTTGCTTTCCCGTTTTCATTATACTCGTATTTGGGCTGGTTGCATTATAACCACAATATATAGTCTCGATTTCGAACTTCAGGGAGCATGTATCACATTTAATGTGTAATAAGAACAAAGTAAGCTTCTATAAATTCAGGAGGCTGTACTATTTTGAGATATATTGCAAAGACTTGACTTAAGCGGCTTAGAATTCATAATTTCTGCACGTTTATTTAATTGCTTTGAAAATAAGAAATCCAATGTAAACATGATCTTGTTTCATTTTAAATGTTTTCAGTTACTGACATTCAAATATCGTAGAGCGCTTATTTTCCCTTTTATAATTCTATTGATCGTTACTGTAGTCAGTAAAAAATTTAATTTTAAAAGTTTGAGTTTTATTTGTGTAATATATATAAGCAGAGATTATGATATCAGAAGTATTATAAATGATATATCAAATCAGTGTGGCCTTTATTTAAATCGAAAACTATTCTAGAATTATTTCGGGTTCTGCTTTTCCATTCATATGTATTATTAGAAGTTGCGAAATAAATTACAGTGAAGAGAATGTGCAATATTTCACTTCATATTCGAATTTCGAATCATTTTCTGTCTAAGGCACATAAAATATAAAATACAATTGATGCAACAAGACTACTGGTATGTGATTTAAAATGCATATGACTTAAGTTACTTTATTTGAGAAGAATTAAAACCTTTTAATAGAAATATTGATTTTATATTAACTTACCAAAGGTTTTCAAGGTAACAGGATTAAAGTACTGAATTAAAAATTTAACTGACATCTCAAATTGGATGACTTTGTTTATTTTAGAATTACTAGTAGCAGAGATGCTGAAACAAAATGCCATAAAAATGAGGCTTACAAACTGCTCACCGCTCACTGCATAAATTTTCTCTATTAATGTAATATTTCCTTGCATGGAATTCTTTTAATCTCCATTAAAACAAGATTTATTGCCTATGTGTCAGAATTAAAAAGATAATTTTACATAAATTAAGATAATGATTAATAAGTGGAATGCTTTTCCGAATAATTAATAGTAGCTAAGGAACTTGGCTTAAGTTCGCCTTTGATTCTACAGTTAAAATTTATGTGTAAGATAACATAATATATTCAGTGTTTTAAAAATGTATTCGAGGCTGGTGAACCAGAAATTAACCTGAGACAATCGCTGAGATTCCTTAGAAACTTTATGAACAAATTGATAGATAAGATGTGACTACTCGTGATTGATTTTTATTATAATTGAAGAATAAAGATATAATATTAAGTTTAGAGAAAAGAACTATTACAATATCGTGATTACAATGAAAGTATTCAATTTTAACTGCAGAGAATATTGGACTAAACTTTTAACTTCCGAAAAATATCTAAAAGTAAAGATTTTGCGAAATTAATTAAATTTAAATGAAAGAATCTTATTCTAGAAAAGGTGAAGAAAAAAAAATGTGTAGCTAGGATTTACTCCGCTGAATAATGTTTATTAATGCTTAACAATGTTTAACAATGTTTAGCCCCAAGCACTGTATGCAAAGAAGTTTTTGATTATGTTCATTAGTTTTTTTTTTTTTGGGGGGGGGTGTTGTTGTTGTTGACTTTAGCGCTCATTGTTGCGAAAAGTTTTAGTTATGTTATAAAGAACAAATGACGATGTAGTAAAAATATTTATGAGTGCTACACACTGCACATACTAACAACACTTACAATTATAAAGCTCGTAAATATCTATATATAAAGTACATTAAAATAACATTAAATTAAATAAATTACACAATAGATACAATATTAAATTATGACGCATATAAAAATATTTATGTGTAGTACACATAAACATTTTAACATTTATTATGACACTTTATTTATTTATTACTACACTTAAACATTATGTTCAATATGTAATGTGCACATAAAAATGTTTATGTGCACATTACATATTGAACATAATGCTTAAGAAATTATAACTATAATTTCGTAAAGTATGCTAAATAAGACAATGAACATGCATACACAAATGCGTTATTAAAATATGTTGCACGTAAGTATTGTCTACTACTACACAACGCGCATGCCACATGATACATACAGTTCTTAATAACAATTAAATATCAAGTACACAAAATATGACATAAAGTTAAGGGAAATACACAATGTATTGATACTTAAATTAGGATGCATGTAAAAATATATATGCATACTACGTAAATCACATATAATATATTACATAAATATATAAAATATATTTACGTGTAGGAATTACGCTAAATAAGCTACTAAACTAAGTAGAATATACTA